GAGGAGACACAGCAGGGGAATGGGCGGCACCTTCTCGATGAGGTCAATGCAGGCCTGCAGGTCCATGCCAAAGTCAATGAACTCCCACTCAATGCCCTCCTTCTTGTACTCCTCCTGCTCTAGCACGAACATGTGGTGGTTGAAAAACTGCTGCAGCTTCTCATTGGTGAAGTTGATGCAGAGCTGCTCAAAGCTGTTGAACTGCAGAGGGGTGAGGGTGGCAGCCGGTCAGGTGGAGGCTGTCTGGGGGCCAGTGGGGTCAGCCCACCACATGTCCTGGCTGAGCCCAGCAGGGGAGTGGCTGGTCCCCTCCAGGTCAGGTTAGGGGAGTGCGGTTGGGGTGGGGCGATGGGGTTCCCCTGAGGACAGGGACGATGGCTGCCATGGCGCTGCAGGATCCCCACTGCCTTCCCAGCCTGGCCCACAGCTGGCCCTGCACAGTGACCGAGATCACGCGAGTGAGTGAGCGAGTGATCATCCCTACTCCCAGGGCTCTGGACTCACATCGAAGATCTCGAAGCCAGCGATGTCGAGGACCCCTATGAAGTACTGACGTGGCTGCTTTGTCTCCAGGGTGGCATTGATGCGTGTCACCATCCAATTGAACATCTTCTCATACACTGCCTTGCCCAGTGCGCCAATGGAGTAGTACACCTGCTGAACGCTCTGTCCTTTGGTGACATACTCGTTGCCCACTTTCACCCGAGGGTGGCACAGCCCCTTGAGCAGGTCAGCAGAGTTCAGCCCCATGAGGTAGGCAGACTTGTCGGCATCTGGTAGAGAAGGAAAGGACACAGTGCTTTTGGTGACCCTTGTTCCTTACCCCAGCTCACTTCTGGTTAGTGCAGCTGTGATTGTGGGAGGACTCCCTGGCTGCTCATCTCACCCATGTTCCTGTCCCTCCTTATCCCTCATCCTACCCTTCTAACTACCCCCATCTGGAGAAGGTAAGTGGCCAGAGGCCTGCCAGGGTTCGAGCTGCCCCTAGAAAAGGCCTGCTCTCTGAACATCTGCTTCTCATATTTCCCCTGATTTCCTTCCAGTTTCTCTATTGTGATCCAAACAATCCTGTTGTCAACCTATTTTCTAATAATTGTTGAAAGAACCTTTGGCTGCAACATGGAAGACCCAGTTCCCAGTGCCTGTCTCCAGCAACGTGGGCCAGCAGGTCCTTCCCACCCAGCCAGCCCTTTGGGCCTTCTCGGCCCTTCCTGCCTGCCCCGTTCACCTTCGGTGCCGTCTGGCTCTGCCTGCTCCTCTCGCTGCTTCTGCTTGAACTTCATGTTCCCATAGTGCATGATGGCACCTGTCAGCTTGTAGACACCGGCCTTCTCCTCTTGTGTGAAGCCCAGCACGTCAAAGGCACTCTGGGACAGAGCACGGAAAACAAAGGATGGCTAGATAGTGGCCGCCGGGGAGCTTTCAGGACTCTTCCCATTGCCACCCCAGGCTCCTCACTCACATCAGTGGCCATGAGCTCCTCAGAGTCATCGATGGAGGCCACAGACACCTCTCCCTGAGACACGAAGGCGTAGTCGTAGGGGTTGTTGGTGAGCAGCAGCATGTCTTTGCCAGGCAAGGAAGGGGAGGGCAGGAACATGGGGTGAGGAGAAGGCAGGGAACATGGAGGAGCAGAGAATGGAGGGGGAACAAAGGAGGAGAGGACAGAGAGTGAGTAGAGAAAAGGAGAATCAGCAAGGACCAGGAGAGAATCAAAAGGCAATAAAAGCTTAGAGGAGGCCCTTGGGAAGGGAAGACCCAATGTCCAGATGAAAAGGAAGAGGGAGGGTGATGGGGGAACGACCCTCTAGGAGAAGAGGTGGCAAGTACAGGGAAGTGAAAGAGCAACAGGAACAGGAGAAATATGCCGAGGGAAAAGTGGAAAGGTGCGAGATGAGGAACAAGGTGTATGATTGTGTTCTGGGGAGGCAAAAGGAGATGTAGGCCAGTCCCGGGGGACCTGCCCCCCCCACAGGCAGGCACTGGGGAGGACAGCAGGCAATGGGGCCAAGCTGGGCTCACCCAGCAGCTCTGGCTTCTTGTTGGACAGGATCTGGTAGAAGATATGGTAGTTCCTCTCAGCCTTTAGCTGGAAGATCACCCGAGACTTCTCCAGCAGATCTAGTGGGGAGAGGGGAGGAGAACAGGTGAGGAAGGAAAGAGAGCAGAGCCAGCAAACGGGTGGCATATATACCTCGAAAGATGATAGAAGGAATGAGGAGATTGGCCGCAGCTGGGGCAGGAGGCAAAGGAGGAGGACCCAGGGGATGAACAGGCTCCCTGGCACTCACAGGTCTCTATGTCTGCAGAAGCCAGCTTTCCAGTGGCTCCAAAGTGGATCCTGATGAATTTCCCCTGTGTGTAGATGGGACAGAGTAAAGGAACTGAATGGACAGAATGAAAGGGACAGAATGAAATCTTGGACCTCCACTGAACCCAGAAAGCCCTGGATGGCTCTGGAATGTAAATAACCTACTTGGTGTCTCAGTTCAGTATCCGTGAAACGGAGAAGGATGCCTATCCCTACATCCCACCAGGGGTCTGCGTAGAAACAGGGGCCCAGGGATCCGCATGTGTGGATGGCTCCTGTTTGTGCCTCTAGTGCTATCTCACGTGATCTTGCTGGTGCTCTGCACCTACTGCGGCTCTGCCTTACAGGTGAGGGGACTGGGGCTCAAGGGTGTGGATCTTGCTGAGCACACAGGAAGTCTGGGCTTTGGCTCCAAAGCCTGTGCTCTTTTCCCAGTCTACTGCAGAAGAGCTTTGAAAATATTCAGAAGAGAAATCTAAAATATGGGGGTGGGGGATTTAGCTTAGTGGTTCCGCCACCTGCCTTGCAAGCACAAGGACCCGAGTTCCATCCGGGGTACCAAAAAAAACCCCCCAAAACAAAACAAAACAAACACACAAAAAAATCTAAAATATGACCCAAATCAGCTCTGTTACTTGGGTATGGACAGCTGTACTGACCCTGGGCTTCTTTTGTGAGGTTCTCAGGACTCAGGGAGCCAGGATGGGTCAGGAGGGGTGGAGTGAGTCTGTATGTGCGAGTGTGTACGCGCCAGTGCTTGCTGGTACCCCAGAACAGACACAATGCAGTCAACTGAGTCTGCTGGCTGTTGTCTCAACAGCACCCCCTTTTCTTGTGAAGGGCCCTTGCCCATAGTCAAGGGTCACTCACAAAGCGGGAGGAGTTGTCATTCCGCACGGTCTTGGCGTTGCCGAAGGCCTCCAGGGCGGGGTTGGCCTGGATGATCTGGTCCTCCAGGGTGCCCTGTGAATGGAGCAGGAGCGTGGGGCTCATCCTCTGCCCACCTCCTGGCTGTGGTGGGAGGCTGGTTGGGCCCTGGGGAGTATGCTGGGGCTGGATGAATAGCCAGTGGGTCTGTGGCTCCAAAGGGCCTCCGACCTCAGAGTGCGCGTCCCTTGTTGGCAGGGTCTTTCACACTGTGCTGACTCTGCCCCCAATCCCTTCGCTGCTGCACCTGTGGGCCCCATGGCACCTTGTTTGCATTGGGATTGTCCTTCTTGCCACGGTCACCTATGGCTGCAATGCTGGCGAAGTATTGGATGACACGCTTTGTATTCACAGTCTTCCCTGCTCCAGATTCTCCTCTGGAGTCAACAAACATCAGTCAGAACCTGTGATTGCTGCTGCTGTCTGTACACAACCTAGTGCCCCACACTCTTCGCTTCCCTGTCTGGGCCCCTGGAGCCCAGTACTGTGTGAGGCTTGACCTTCAAATAGAGCCCAGCACCCATGCTCTCTGCAATCACAGCCCGAAACCTCTCCTCCTGCAGTCAGCCTGGAGGACCCCACCCCAAGCCCCTGTGGGTAGATGGTGCTTGCTCACGTGATGAGGATGGACTGGTTCTCCCGATCTGGAAAAGAGGAAGAGGAGAGGCAGTGGGGTGAGGGCCGCGGGCCCAGGTGGGTGGTGGGATGGAGGGGCACAGGCTGGGGTGCCGGGCTCACCCGTCAGCATGTACTGATAGGCGTTGTCGGAGATGGAGAAGATGTGGGGCGGGGCCTCGCTCCTCTTCTTGCCCCGGTAGGCGGCCACCACCTCGGCGTTGTACACTGGCAGCCACTTGTAGGGGTTGACAGTGACGCAGAAGAGGCCTGAGTAGGTCTGGGCACAGAAAAAGAGAAGTGGGCTGCTGTTGATGAAGAGGGAAGGGTGGCTATTTTCAGAGTCAGAGGAAGACCCCACAGGACGGAAAGGAGAAAGGAAAACTTCTGAACGTGCTCAACCCCCCTGGGGTCCTCTGGGGTCATGCCAGTCCCCAGGGTGTTAGAATCAAGCCGAGGATGTAGGGACAGGGATTGAGAGCCATGCTGCCCACACACAAAGCACAGGAGTCTTGGATCCAGGAATGGAAACACGGGGGGCCAGGCTGCTCAAAGGTGAGGGAGAGTCTAGAGTCACCACTCACATAGATCATCCAGGCCGCGTAGCGCTCCTTGAGGTTGTACAGCACTGCGGGCTCGTGCAGGAAGGTCAGCATGGCCATGTCCTCGATCTTGTCGAACTTGGGTGGGTTCTGCTGCATCACCTGGTCCTCTTTCACCGTCACCGTCTAGAGAGGGAGCATGAGTGGTAGGATGGGATGACCACATTGTCACCAGAAGCCTTGTCAGCCCTCACTTGCCAGCCCTGCCCTCTTCCCTCTTCCCAATGCCACATCGTGGACTCAGCCTTGCTCCCTAGCTCTTTGCTAGCCAGTGCTCAGCCCTTAACCCCACAGCTTGCCCAGGACAGTCCTTGGCTGATTTTCCTGCACATTCTCTCCAACCCTAGAGACTAGCATAGAGTCCCTTTATCATGCCAGCTCTCCAGGCACTGTCCAATGATGGTCACCTCCCAGCCCCTGTGTTCCAGTATCTAGGGCAAACCTGGGTACCCACAGCTCTCAGCATCGTGCACACCTCACCCTGACCTTGAAGCCACCTCCTGTGGCAGTGCTCTGGGGTGTCAGTGCCTTGGCCCTGCACTCCTCATCAGTCAGTGTTGGTGTGGTTTGATCAGCACCAGTCAATTTGCCATGGCCTGATCTCATTAGGCCCTGCCAGTAGGGATTCTAGCAATTTTATAATGAAGAAGGTGTGGCTCCAACTGATTACATGATTTGCCAGCACAGTGACCAGCTAGTAGCAGACCTGAGATCATAGTCAAAGTCCTTTCGGGTTGTGGCCAAGATGCAGCTTTCAGTCAGCAGACTGGTTAGGCCCACATCTCTGAGCCCTACTGATGACCTAAAGAGATTCTCATGGCTGGATGAGCAACCCAGGGAGCAGGGGTCCCAGTGTTGGTCAGTGGCCCTGGCACTGAGCTCAAAACTGGTCTAAGAATTTGCTCCTATTTAGGTGAAGGGAACGTGAGAAAGTAGACCCATGGGAGAAACTGAGGCACAGAGAAGAGGAATATCAAGCTGGGAGGGAAGCTTCATTTAATGTTGTGTCTGTGCCTCTTTATCTGCAAGGCCCCTCCTGGGAGGAAAACAGCTGCTCCCCTAGACCCCGCCCAGCATCCCCTCTGGCAAGATGTGTGCATCCTTGGGGTGATACCCTGATGTACCTGCCAGGGTCCCTCTTCGGAGGCTCAGATCTGGCCTCCTGGCACCCCTACCAGTTGGCTCCAGGCCTGTCCCTTCCCCTAACACCAACCCTCCCCCTGCCCTGCCACTGTGCTCCACGCACCTTGCCATTCTCTGTTTCAGCAGTGACCTTGCCCCCTTCCCGAGACACAATCTTGGCCTTGACGAACTCTTCCTTGTCGTCGGGCACGAAGCACTCAGTGCGAATGTCGAAAGGCCGAGTCTGGGCCTCCAGACGCTCCTTCTCTGTCTTCCGGAGGTACGGGGCAGCCTCCCCAAAGTCAGCCATCTGGGAGTCTGCCATGGTGTGGCTCTTCTGAGGCTAAGACAGGGGGGACTCTTTACTCCTGAGTGGGCCCAAACTTCCGTAGGTGGCCTTGCCCTCTGGACTCCACCTCTGCCCCACCAGGTCTTCTCACTCTCCTATCTCCATCCCACTAGGGCTCTACCTGGACCCCCCCGCCCTTGGACTTCTGCTTCCCTTGCTCTCTGATTCACCTTTAGGAGGGACTCTGAAAAGGTTTGTGTGGGTGGGATTGGCTGGGGTTTGCCAAAGAAAGGTGCTGAGCTGCTTGGAGGGGAGATGGGGCCCCTGGTCCAGCAATCAGGCCCTGGGGTTTCACCTGGTATTTCTTCACAGAGAATCCTGAAGAATCAGGACCACAGGTAGAGCAAGGTGCCCCGGAGATGCAGCCAGGCACAAAGAACAGCAGGAGAGAGAACAACAGAGACAGGTCAGCTGGGAGCAAGAGGCTCGACACCGATAGCCAGATTCCACAGAACAGACACAGGGAGGGAGGCAGAGATGCAGAACCATCTCTGGGAGGGAGGAGCAGGAAGGATGCAGAGGGTGTCGTTAAGTGGAAGAGCACTTGCCTACCATGCACAAGGCCCTGGGTTCCACCCTAGTGGCACAAAAAAAAAAAGAAAAAGAAAAAAGAAAATAAAAGATGCAGAGCTAGCAAGAGTGGGAAGGCTGGGATGGGCTGTGGACACAGTGAGAAACAGGCAGAGATTAGAACACACAGCCAAAAGGAAAGACCAGGGAGAAAGACAGGCAGACAAAGTGATTGGGCCGAGTACTGACAAAGATCAAGAGGCAAGATGAAAACCAAGACAAAGGGAAGGAGGCATCCAAAGGAGGGAGGAAGAAGGAGGCAGTGTGCGAGAAGATACAGACTGGTGTGGGCAGAGAAAGAGAGAGTCCAAGAAAAAGTATCTAGGGTTCCCAGCAGTCACTTCCCGGGGAAGGAAGGCAGCTCTGGAAGCCTCTGATTGACCTTCACCCTCCTTCCAGGGAAGGCAGGGCCCCCAAGGTGAGGGCTGCTTGGACTGGCTGCAGAGTCTCCACCCCAAACTCTCTCTTACCTGGGCTGGAGGAATCTCATCTGTCCTCCAAGCTCGGCCTCCTTTATATCTCACTTCCCCCACCCTGCTGCCTAAATTTGGAGTCCTTCCGGTGGGACCCTCCCTCCCACCTCCCACCCCTCCTGACTCCTCCTCCCTGATCCCTTGGCTCTGGAGGTGACAGGAGGACAGCAGAGCCCCCAGGTTTGCCCATGAAAGGTCTGTAGTCCTGGCCCCTCCGGCTGCAGGGCCTTTTTTTAGTCCTTGGGCACATTCCTCCCTCCAAAGGCCGATGGGCAGATAGTGGGAAGACAGGACTTTCTTGTACCACCTCCCCGTCCCGCCAGGGCACTTACCTCGGTTATTTTTAATCTGCAGGGTGAGTTGAGCACACTGGGTGAGGGTCACCTTCTCCTGCAGCCCAAAAGCTTGTCACCTGCCCCCAACCACTCGCTCCCCTGCCTGGTTCCGACTCTGTCCTCCCACACTGGCTGTCCTCATGTACATCTCTGCCCTCAGACCTGGAGTCCCACAGCGCTGGGGCCTGGGGGCCGGAGCCAGGATGCCCAGTGAGGGCATCCACCCGTCAGCTTCATGACTCAGTTTCCTTTTGTCACGAAAGGAATTTCTTCCCCATCCTCCCTCTTCGTAAATCCTGTGCCTGGTCTCTTTCCCGGGTTACCGGGCATGTGCCACACACATGCAGAGTTTTTATTTACTCAACTTACTTAAGCTTGCTGATGTCCCTACTTGCTTTTACCCACACTGACACACATATGTGTACACCCCCATTTGCACACATATGTTTGTACCCTCCCACTACCACGTTCCACTCGTGGTGGGGCTGGGGGAAGGGTGTGGAGAGTCGTTAATCCCGGGGCCTGAGGGAGGCTGCTCTCTTCTGCCTCTCTGGGCTGCCAGAGGATGCAGGTGCTGGTGAGGGTGCCTGGGGCGTGAGCAGGCCTGGGGATTTGCACCAGCTGGGCCCCAGGCTGCGCATTCCTCGGGGGCAGGGCTCTGCTGACTGCCCCTCCCCAGGTAGAACACTGGTGTCCCGTTCCAGCCCTCCTGGGGCTCATACTCCCATGCCCTTCTTCAGGGTGTCCTCACATGCCCAGGTCCTCGAGCCACCCCTCCCATCCTCCAGCTCTGCCCCCTCTCAGAGGCCGTAGGTATTGGGTCTTCAGCAGCCCGTGCCTGTTGTGACTAAGTGGACATTGTGTTCAGGAAACAAAGCCAGGCTCCCCTGCTCTGGCTTTCCCGTACACCCTCACACCCAGGAACACTCTTTCAGCTCCCCTCCCACCCCATCCACTGTCACCTCTCGATATAGCTCTGGGGTGTGGAGGTGGGCAGGACAGACAGGGGCAGCCTTTTGGTAGGGGTACGGTCCACTACAGATGTGGCTTCCCCACAAGGTCACCAACCCCAGAGCACTTCACTGCCCCACATGGGGCTCAAGAATACACATCTCAGCCCAGGGAATTGTACCCTATGTTCAGCGTCTCTAAAGGGATCTGAGTCAACCCCACATCCTCATCTCCTGCAGGTGTATATGCCAAACCATTACCCCTAGGGGATGCAGGACACTTGTCCCCAGCTTTAGGTCCCTCAAGGTCCCAACATGAGAGCTGGGAGGTTAGCCTATGACCCAGTGTGTCACTGCCTGGTTCCCATTGCCTTGGGGACACGATAAGGGGCTGAGAACACCAGTTCAGGCTGGGTCAGGTCCAGGTGACAAACACCAGGCTCTGTCCTCAGGGAACCCAGTGTACCGAGCAGGCCAAACTTGGTATAGGTGGCGGGGGGGGGGGGCAGTGAGGGGCGGTCAGGCATCTCCTGCTACTCCTATGGGAGGAGGAAGAAGGAAGGGGCTAACTTGGTTCTGGGCTCTGCCCTCTGTCTGGTCTGATTTGCCCTCCTCTTCCTTTCCTAGCCCCCCTCTTCTCCCTGGCTCTCACATGTTCCTCTCCATCCTCCCTCAGCTGCCTCCCAAACCCACCCTGCACTCTGCTGGAAGTCCTGGAGTGTGCGGCACGGGATGGAGACTTTGGCCACAGGTGAGGGGGACTAGGAGGCTGGCACCTTGGCACAGGTCACCCCTTTTCTGCCTGGCTCCCAGCATCTCTGTCTGTCCCTGTGTCTGACCTTCCTTACCCTCCGCCTGGCTCCCCATCTCAAAGTCAGACCTGGCCTCTGATTCTCCTGGGCCCATGTCTCTGCCCATCTCAGGGCCTGACATGAGGCTCTGCCTTCTTTAAACCGAACCTTTGGAGCTCTCAGCCTGGCTCGACTCTACCTCCACATCTTGCCGTGGGTTCCTCATTCACCTCTCTCTGGCCTCCCTGCTCCTTGGCTTTCCTGACTCCTGCACCTGAAGGTGACCCAAGGTTCTTTCCTTTGCCCAGTGTCAGCTCCCTCAGCTCTTTGAGCTTCTCTGTCCAAGGCTCCCTCCCATTTCCTCCTCTTCCTGTGCTGACCTGCATCTTCTTTTCCCTGAGCACTCAGCCTTGCCATCTGCACCCAGCCCCTGCTGGCCTCACAGCAACTATAGCTCTTGCTTTCTTAGGCTCTGGTTGCTTAGATTCCCTGGGCTTCTCTGCAGATCTCCCTCTTCAAAGTGTCCTCTCTCTTCTCTACTGATCTCTTCATTGCTTTCCAAGTCTGTTCCTAGGCAGAGGGCCGGTCCTAGGGAGGGAGAAGGAGGGACGGTGTAAGGCGGTAGCTGGGAGGGCCCAAGTTCTTTCTGAGGCTCCCTCATGTTCGATATTTCTTTCTTTGTCTCTATTTGCTATGCTCACACTGTTGCCACATTCTTCCCCCCTCTCCACTGCACACCTGCCCCCCAGGCCTTTCCTTCCCCCTTCTGTAATCCCTTTCTTTGCTCTCTCCTCACCTGCTATTCTCAACACTGGCATCACCGCTTTCCTGGCACAGGGCCTTTGTTCTGGCTGCTTTACTTGGAGTTCAGAGCTCAGCAAGGGCTGTGCAAGACAGCTGTGCATTGCGGGGAGGGGGCACTAGAGGTGACTCAGTCCTGGGCTGCACCAGATTCCCAGAGGGGGCTGTGAGTCCCATTGCCTTCCAGGCCCACAGTGCCAGCCCTACCCTAAGCAGCCCAGTTGTGACAGCAACATCAAGGGGGCCAGGCTTGCTTAGCTAAAGGCGGACTTGCCCTTCCTACACCTCCCAGGCTGACCCTCCTCTCCTCTCTGGAGTCTTGCCCACGCTCTGCCCTCTCGAGTTCTTCTTCCGCCTGCTTGCCTTGAGATGGCTTGTCTTACAGGGCCAAAGAATGCCATCTTCTAGCAACCACAGAGGAGAGGCCTTGTGCATGCAAGGCACAGTGGGGGAAACGAGAGACCAATGGGGCACCCTATACCAAGGCACTGAGCCTTGAGAGGAGTGGAAGAAGGAAGAAAGGACGATGGGCTAAGGGTGCTTTCCTCTGGGCTGGGTGGGGAGAGGCATGGGTCTCTGAGGCTGGCTGTATCTGGAAGAGTGTCTGGATGACAGCTGTGATCCCACTGTCCCCTCAGAGACTTGTGTGGGGAGGGCCTAGGGAGCCATTACCTCAAGCAGGTCACACTTCTGCAAGGACACGGGTCAGCCCTTGTATGCCACACCTCCCATGGCCCCAGCCCCGGTGTTACCAGTGGGAGACAGTGTTATCAGAGCTACAGTGCAGGACTGTAGGTGCTCAGGGTGCTCTCAGGAAATTAAGAGGTTCCCCTAAGTCTCCTTTTCACCCGTAAGGGCTGCCAGGCCAGAGAGAGGGCTGGGAAGAGATGTGTCACCTCTTTGTTGTATTTGGCTGGAGTGAGTGGAGGGGGGTCCACAGGCTAGGGCTGCTCCTAGGGTCTGAGCCTCATAGCCTGGAGAGGCCTCTTAGCCTGACCTTTGACCCACCCCTCCTCTGGAGTCCTCACCTCCCCATTCCCGGGGCCCATCCCTAACCCCACCCCTGGGCCCATGGCCGGTAGGCAGTGAAAAATCGAGGCAGGTTTCAGCTTCAAAGAAAACTGCTTTATTCTGTTTCTTCCTGAGTGCTGTTACACAGGCACTGGGTCTAGGGACTTCATTGGCACCCTCAGGACTGGGCAGATCAAGATGTGGCAAAGCTACTCCTCATTCAAGCCCTTTTGAAAGGAACAAAGTTCAAATTAGCTCTGGAGAGGCAGGTGTTACAGGGAAGGGGTGTAAAAAACAAAGGTGAGACCAGGGCAATGGATGAGTGGAGGCCTCTTGTGAGGCCTGATACAAGCCCCGTGGTGGGATTGGTGTACATACTGGAATACATTGGGTAAGTAAATTGAGGTCTTGTAGGGTTGCAGACCACCCTAGGGCTGGGATTCACAGAGTCACTGAATGTTGGGGCAGGAAGAAGCTTAGAAATCACAAGGAACTCAATGTCCTTGGCCTCTGGGGCTTAGTGGATCACTTGGGGAAATCTATCAAGAGGAGGCATCCCTGGTGTGAGGTTGCTTTGTCTGAAGCTGAGAGAGGAAGTGTGCCTGATGTGGGGGTGACTGCTGAAGCCCAGGGGAGGGACCCACCTTGGTGCCAATGTCGCGGCTCTTGGCCCGAAGCTTGTTGACTTGGGACTCGGCAATGTCTGCCCGCTCCTCCGCCTCATCAAGCTCATGCTGCACCTTGCGGAACTTGGACAGGTTGGTGTTGGCCTGCTCCTCCTGTGGGCAGAGGGGGGGTGGGTCAGAGGGGCCTGGGCCCTCAGTCTCCCAGCCTGGGGCACTGGCTCCCTTGGGTCCCTCCTGTAGGCCTTGACCCTAGCAGGGTCACTCACCGCCTCCTCAGCCTGGCGCTTGTAGGCCTTGACCTTCAGCTGCAGCTTGTCCACCAGGTCCTGCAGCCGCAGCAGGTTCTTCCTGTCCTCTTCGGTCTGTGGGGCAGGGGTGGGAAGGAATGAGATGGTACAGTCATAGGGGACAGCACCTGAACCCCGGTTTTTGTCTTCTTTACACTGAAAGTAATATCTGAAACAATCCTATCCTCTGATCTTCACTAAACACTTGAATTCACCTTATAATTTCTCACCTTAAAAAAGTGAATATTTTAAATGATAGGTACCAGGAAAGAATCCAAGGAGCTGATGGGATTCCTGAAATTGTGTGCACAAAATCATGGGTGTACCATTCCAGGGAGCAGGCCCTTGAGGGTCCTGAGTCCCATGGGAGATAAACTCCCTGGCTCTGAAGCCCAGCATGTGCTGGGAGGGACTCTGGGCCTGTGAGCGTGATGGAATTTCCTAGGCTGCAGTGGAGATGACATGGACTTGATCGAGGTTAAGGAAAAAGTGTGCTTAGAGGGAAATGACATCCTGGATTGGAATAGAAACAAATCCTAACTGAGAGTCTGACACTAGAAAATACCACAGAAATCTGGAGTCTGCCCTGCCCTGCCCTGGGTAACTGAGAAGTGCCAAGATTTGTCTGAATGGCTTTGGTGTTCCTTTGATGTCCAGTGGGCCTGGCTAGACAGGGGACAACAGGGCAGACAGGGGCTACACTCCAGCCCTTGCCCCAGAAGAGTAAGAGCAAACACTTCATTTCTCTCCAGTGCTCATCACTGTGGCTTCAGGCCACCATGCAAGCGACAGAGCCACAACCCCACCCGCACCTGGTAGGTGAGCTCCTTGATGCGCCGCTCACTCTTCCTCATGCCCTTGACTGATTCCGCGTTGCGCTTCTGCTCAGCCTCCAGC